TCTTGTTTGCTTCCCCTCTTCTTGTTTGCTTCTCGTCTTCTTGTTTGCTTCTCGTCTTCTTGTTTGCTTCTCGTCTTCTTGTTTGCTTCTCGTCTTCTTTGCTTCTCGTCTTCTTGTTTGCTTCTTGTCTTCTTGTTTGCTTCTCGTCTTCTTGTTTGCTTGCTTGTAAAAACAGAAGACTCAATTTAATTTATAAATCATGTGTTCAGCCTGTCTTACGGGGAGAAAGTCGATTGTAAATGTTACTTATGTGACTTATACAATCCAAATATAACAATATTTCAAATGCCTAACTTTATTTGATCCTCTAACTTTGTGTGCCCTCTCTGATGCATAATCCCAGAGCCGCCACTGAGTACCCTTATAGAACTCAAATATATGATAGAGAATGTGATCACAATACAAAACGTAATTGCTGCATTAAAGTCTAATATAAGAAAAGAATACATTTCCCTTGCTAGTAATATAAAAAACCGAGATGTAGGTGTATAACACACAAAACATTTATACAAGATAATTTACCAAGTTCAAAGTACAATTATAGAAATCGGTTCATGACGATACAGAACAATAGTAAATGCAGAATAGCACGACAAACGAGTTACAAGGCACTGGGTAACACTAAATGCAATAATACTTTATTAGTTGCATGGCACAAAACGTTTGGGGAACACTAGGGTGCTTGCGCAACTGTTGGAGACATGACCTCATTTGCACTTCATTTTCATTTTATTTTTAGTCTTTGTGCGGCATGGCGCCTCACGTCCCATCACCGGACCACTTCATTCCGCTCGCACGAGTTCCTCAATGACATTCCTATCCGCCTGGTAATGAAGCAGCTGTGGTCGCGTGTCAGTGCAGCTGGTGATGGTGTCCTCACGACCGGCGTGTGCAGTTTTTAGGGGGGGCGCTGCCCCACTTTGCTTCCGGCGTATTGCGAGGAGGTATTCACACGGAGCCAGCTCAGCTCAGCTCTGTTAACATGCGCATAGTAGCACGCGGCGCTTCCAGAGATGGCCTCGGCAATGATTTTTCTCGGAGAGGTCTTAGCTTCTGCCTTGATGCCACGCTGGAGAGCGCCGCCTCGCTGTCTTTGCTCTACTCTCCCAAGGGTCCAACCAGCAGACGTAATGTCTCAGCCGTGGCAAATCCCGTGGTGAGTAAGAATGCACGCTTGG